TTTGATAAATATTTCACAAACTGACTACTGTAATCGAAGAAGAGGAAGGCACAAGAGGATGGTGCTGATACGAAGACACTTCACTACTGGTTTATAATTGTGACAACCCAAATTTTGTTTGTTTCCTAAGAAAAAAAAATTTTTTTTTCCAATTTCCACCCTCTTTTTGTCTTCTTCAATACATCTGTCTTATTAGTAAAAGAGGCAACATTTGAAAATAAATTTCTTAAAAGCTTGATAAATTTATCTTATAGGCGTAAATTAGTCATTTGTCTGTTTGTTCTCTTTTTTTCTCTTTTTTTTTGTTTCTTTCTCTTTTTCTTTCTTTCTTTCTTTTTATTTGCTTGAAAATAATGGAAATTTTAAGAGAGTAATTTGACATAATAGAAATGACAGTCAGTCAAAATTCTATAGAAAAATTTAAAAAATAAATCTTATAATTCAATTCCACTGATAATTTAAACAATCGAAAAAAAAATTATATATGGGCAAAACAGTGAGGAATACATACGCAAGCAAATGTACAAATCAAGTAGACCATTAGATGATATGTGCAGGAGATAGGGGCACGAACATAAATTTTTAGGCGGTCGTAAATCATTCGATGAAATCGATCTCCGTGTTTGAGCAAATGCATTTCCATAAGAATTGGTTACAGGTTAACGATAACGATTGAGATGATGATGATAGTGATAGTGATAATGGTGAAGATTATAATAATAGTACGATAGTAAAGATAATAACGATAACTATACTAATGGCATTAATGACTTATAATTTATTAGGTGAATTGCTGGTGATATGAATGCGAAAAAATTTGGAATAAATAAATGAATGAAATGCATTTAATTGTATGTTATTTGAAATGAATCAATATGTGATCGAGAATTTGTAAACTTTTTCTTCTGCTTAAGAATTTAAATTTTAACAAGTCATTTAAGTACTAAGTTTTTTACTTGATAATTCTAACTTTGACTTTTGGTTATGGTAACTGACATAACTTAAAATTCAAATATTATTTCGAGCATAACTCATTTTTCAAAAAAATTTCACGTCATTTCTAATTTAACTCTCTGAAAAATTCGTCGATTCTAAATCATAACTTTCTCTGATCGTCTTATTCAGGAATTGATTAAAGTTTTAAGCGTTTTTTAACTTGCTATCAGATTAGAAAGTAAAAATAAATGCAATGGATAACAGTCGAATAAATCATGAATTTTTCCAACTAAATAAATATATTATAAAAGATAAACAAATTCAAATATGTGTTTCAATCTCTTTTTTTACAACCACTAGAAAGAATTTATCGATTATTTCAAAACAAAGCAATTGTCCTTCCAAGTTTCAAAATAGGTTAGCGGGATCCCAGAAAAATAAATTAACTCATTTTGTATATTCCAGCAAGATGTTTCTTCTTAAACTTTTAAATTTTACTAACAGATATTCACAATTAAATCCTGAAATTGAAATGTTTTTTGTTCTCATTGTGAAATAAGGTTATAACTCTGATTTACATTTTTTCAATTTCTAAGAATCGAAGCTCAATTTCCGGGTGAAATTTAATCTTCAGGTGATTGGTCAATTGCGATACTGCAATATTGGACAATTGTCTTCGTGCGCGTTACACTTGAAAGAAAACTCACATAATTCTTGAATACGCACGAATTCACAAAAACTTGCAGATATCAAAACTTTTCCGAAGGAGAGAGAATTTTGTAAAGCCGAAACTGATCATTTTTGCAAAACAAAAGAAAAAACAAGAAAAAAGGAATGCTGATAGCTGGAGGTTTGTTGAATTTCGGAAATATTTTTCATGCGACTAAAACGTTAGTTTGCATGTAATCGATAAGATTGTAAGGTCAACAGCTAATATGTGATTCCAAAATTTATAAAATATTTTCCATGGTTTTAGAGAAAAAATAAATTATGCTCCCTAATTGATTTATTAATATGTACGAAAACTGTAATTTTGTTTTTTAACAATCATACGATCAGTGATTATGATAAATTTCTTAACGATAGAAAATATATTTTGCTAATTACAGATAAAAATATGCTTATCTTTTTTGCATTAATTTGTGTAATTAATTCATCAAATTGGATTGGATCTCAGTTATAGAATTCATGCAAATATGACAAGGCAATTTTTTTATAACCAAATTGCTTTTTTGATGTATTTTTCTTTTTCTTTTTTGTTTTTATATAAAAATTTTAGCTTTTACATTTTTTTTGCTACAAGCGTATTTTTGTTAGCTTTTCCTTGTTTACTTCTTTCTTTCATCTTTTTCCTGCTAAATCGATCGACTAATGTATTCATCAATTCATCATTAATTATCACATCGGTAAAATTTTCTTAAAATTTCATACTGTAAAAACTTTTTTTTTTCTTTGAACAATATAAATTATTCATTTTTAGAGTGTAGCAATAATGCAATAATAATGCATGGATTCTTTCTGACAGCTTTAAAATGTAGTGGACGAAATATTCCGAATTCCTGAGAATTAAAAATAGCACCAAATAGGTGAATATATTTTATCCTAAACTACTTTAATATTTTCCTGTTTCCATGGTAACTTCATTCCTCTCCTATGTTTCCTGAACTCCAACCCTACCAGCTCTCATCATGTTCAGCTGTCTTCCAATCACTCCATGGCACCAACATCATAATTGCTTTCATCATTTGAAATCATATTGGTTTTATATTTCTCGTGAAATTTTCACAAAATCTTGTCTTCTTCAAGCTCTTCAAAACTTAATAAATAAAATGGCGCTGCTATCATTTCCATTTGCTCCTTCAAAAATTTAAACTGTCTTATTCAATAATACATTCATTTTTTTTTCTTTTGAAGATAGAATATCTTCAAAAAAAGTGCCAAATTTTGTTCAAATTTGAATAATTATTTACGTAATGTCTACCATTGTGACATTAATTATTTTTGAATTTCTATTACTTCTGTATAGTGAAGCATTTCACTGCTATAATTGTGCATCCACTTTGCCTTCCAATATTAGTAAGGATGCACAACGAGCATTCAAAACTATACTTTATTCAACTTTTATGGTACCACCAGTTGATAGGTCATGTGTCAACTCAGATGACGTTGAATTCAGAACCGTTAAACAGATAAACTGCTCACCGGATGATCAGTGTATTAAAATTACAGTACGACAAAAAGGTTAGTGAACGTTAATGTTTTATTTAAATTGATTTAGAATTCTGATATCTGTTTTTACATTTTGTTTAAAGATCCGATATATGTGGACAAAATAATTCATTCGAATTATTCGCCGTAAATATCACCAATTTTAAAATCTTTTAAATTAAAATCTTTGCAGAATTTGATGCAAAATTTTTCGATTGGAGGGATAAGATCAAATACACTGATTTACATTACTGTTGTAATTATATTTCATCCTAAAAAACATTAAAACAAATCAGTCAAAATTTTTATAGCTTTACTTGTCGTTTCCAAAAAATAAATAAATAAATAAGTTATTTTTATTTATTTGTTACTTACAAATATTTTAATGATAAATTTTTCATTACTTTACAGATTTACAGTTTGTCATGCGTGGCTGTCAAGCACTTATATATCGTGATAAGATGATTAGTATCGATGTGGAATGTCGCCATGATCAGAGTCCTTCAATTTGTCACTGTACCGGTAATCTGTGTAATAGCGCCTTGATATTTTCACTTCATAGTTATATATTTTCTCTATCATTTCTTATGATTTTGTTAATTTTTGCGTAACTATTGACTTTATGAAATTTTTCGTGTTTAATAAAAATTTTTGATATGATCGTTTAAATAAAAAACAATGGAATTTGGCGGAAGTAAACGATAAAATGCTAAAAGTTGTCAAATTACTACTGCAAAATTGTAACTCTAGCTTATTCACGTTTATTTTTTTTGACAAAACTGCAACTTTAGTTGATAAAATTTTTGCAACCTTAGCTATTTCAGATATTTGAATTTTTTATAAATTTGTCACTCTATCTGAAAGATTTTTTTTTGCATAATTCTTTCATAAATTATACATTCTTGCGTAAATTAATCAATGTTTGTTGCAGATGCACACAGTAAGAGAAAATTGCTCAACTAATCAGTTTTGAATATTTAGCAAGTATCTCACATAAACTGTAAAAATTTTTCACATATAATTCGGAAAATTAAACAAAGTAAATTAAGGCTCTAAGCAATAAAATTTTCCTTAGGAACAATTTTCGACTCAGAAAAATTCAAAAATCATGTTATAAATATTTTTTTTCGAATTTTTCCAAATTTAAGTAATTAATTTTAGGGAATAAAACACTGTCAAAATAGAAAAATATTGTTTCTACTTTTTGCTTCGAATTAAATTTTCATACGATGTAGTGCACGGTAACAGAAGAATTACTCAAGACATATTATTGACGAAAGTCAAACGCAAATATTTTACTTAAATATTGAATATAGCTACCAAAAAATTTTACTTTCTTCATGAAGTTCAAATGTGATCATACTTGGACCTCAAATAAATTTGTTTTTATCAAGAAAAAAAGTCATTACAAAACAATTGATAAAGAACTGATAACGAAAAGTTAAAACAAAACATCAACACAGTGCATTCTATTTAGAGTAAGTATATTTAAACGATAATGATTACTTGTAAAGTTTTCTTTGATAAAAATTTCCAAATGTCATTGATTCACTGATAAAAATTTTTGTACGTGTCAGTGACCAGAAATTTTTGACAAGTACTCTTTTTTATTGTTGAAAATGAGAATGATTGCTCGCAGATATTTACATGATCATTGACAGTATTTGTTCTTTCACGTATCGAACTTCAAGAAAAATACCTCAATATGACACTGTGAACAAATTGTATTAGTCTCGTAGCAAACCAAATACCATCAATTTTAAAATCATATGATTTATTTAGTTCGTTCTATTCTTCTAAGTAAACCTATGATATATGTTCAGTATATTTCGACAATTAAGATAATTCAAGCTAATAGCAATTTTATGTCAAAAATTTCGCAAGAATTCCTTACGATTTATTAGTATTTTACATTGGTTGTTAAAGGGCAAATTATTAAATTTTGCTTAATTTGCGGTGAAAATTTCCAAATAGTCATAATTATTTCCATGGTGATTCAAAATATTACCGCTGAACTGTGATATCTGGACAATAGCTAAGGCTAAGCAGAGTGATTATCGGAGAAGTTGAAAAGTTATAGTTAAAGGGTAATTCATTCTTTACCTATTTAATGAGCAATTAATACTTCATAATTTAGATATTCTTAAATTAAATGAACAGAACAGTTAACTGAAATATTTCATGTAGTAATGAGATTATTTTTCAAGCAATTATAGTCAGAAGGTCAAAACGGTCTTATTATTATAAAATTTATAAATATATCATGAAATGTTAAAAGTTCCCATTATAACGTTTGTTATTAACAGTATCAGTTGATAATAGTGATTGGAGAATGATTCGTTGATAGCGTTAGATTTAACTTTTATTTCAAATGTGTATGATTTCGCTTTAATATCATCATATGATTTTATTCAAACAAATAATTTTTGACTGCAAGTGCGATGCAACCATTTTCATTCCTTATCAGTTTATTCACTTTTTTCAAACCTTAAATGAGAAAGAAATCCTTTGGAAAATAAAATTCATTAACAAAAACTTCAATTTCACATAACGATATTAAAATACATTCAATCCCTAGTTAAATTTAATATTTTATTGATATATAGTGTGGGAGAGAAAAAGAAATTGAAATTATACTTGCCCGGGAATGCAATTATGATGATAATTTTGACACATTTCAACAATATATATCTCATTGCTTATTTTTTTTTCTTTTCACCGACATGAATAGAAATAAATGTGACAACGAATAGGAGTGTTAGTAAAAAAATTCAAATAGTTATATTTCAAATATGTTTCAGGTCAGGTCCATCAATTTTGAATTTGTTGCATAAATATATGTTGCAAATTTTGAAACTAACGTTCACATAACAACAGCGCTATTTGCTGATTTCATTTCATGCTATATTTGTATCTTTTATAGATTAGACTTTTAAAATGAGCGCAAATTGATTAATTTTAGCTTTACATTTTACGCAGCTATGATGATTCTTGAATGGAATGATAAAGCTTATCAGATAAAAAACTGCAAATAATTTTTTGTTAATTTCTAACAAATTTTAATGTAAAAGTGATCATAAAAAAATTTAAAAAAAAAAAATTTTATTTCTTTTTTTGTCGACAGAAAAAAAAACATAACGCAATGAAAAAATCATGATTTTAAGAATAATAAATGAGTGAAATTAAGCAATTTTTATATCTTCTGTTTTGCAAATTTCTTCTCAAATTGTCAATTTTAGAGGTCATTTTCGGTGCAACGAATACAAATGCAATCAGAAAATTAAACAGACAATTTGATCTTAACAATAGAATTCGAAATAGTTCCTTCTCATCACACCCAATCTCAGTGATGTTATTTCGCACTATCCTATACTATTCATTCCTTATCAACAATAAGTTTGAATGTATTCGGCGGTAGTATCTTTAATCAATCTATTATTTAAATTAGTTGTTCAATATTTATTAAACTGTTCTACGTAATTTTACTTCCATATTAACTGATAACATAATTAAATGCTACTTTTTTAATAACATTTATATAGGAACTTTTTTTCAACCATTAAATTTCAAAATCCTCCAAAATATTTCAAATCTTCTAAAAAAAATATTACAATCACGCTATTGGAGTGGCAGAGAACTACTCATTTTAAATTTCTAAAAATTAAATTTTTAATTAATTCATTTTTCTCTCCATAAAAAAAAGTTAGATCTAACTTAATTATTTGCAATTACAATTGTAATAAATTAACTTTGTTCTTAAATTTCATATTCCTGAAAAAAATTGTAAATAAATCGATAACTTGAATTTCATTTTTGTAAACCAATGTTTGGTTTGAATTCCACAGTTTTAAGATAAAATGCTTGCTTTAACATGAATTAAAATGTGTTTTGTGTTAGATTATTACACCAAAAAAAAAGACGTATAAAACGTTTCAAAGTTCAGAAATACTTGTTGGCAAAGAAATGTGAAATCAATTTAAAGGGTCATGTGAATAACTCTATATTGGTTTTACATTTGAATTATAGAAAGAAAAGACTTAAATACTTAGACAAAAGAGAAATATGAAGGAAAAAAAAGATAGGAAAATAGAATGAGAGATGGATAAAGATGGAGAAGAGTGATAGTTGTTGAAATTGTGACTGTTGTAGGGATGAAATTGAAAGAAGTTGAAAAAGAATGGCATAAAATAATAGTTCGATGTTATCATTACTATTATCACTGTTAACACTATCACAGTTATTTTTGCTACATTTTATTGCTGCTACGTCAATGAATGCAATTTAATAGAATATAATAAATATGTTTATTTATTTATCATCAAATACAATTTTTTCAGCATTCCAAAAAAAAAACAAAAAATGAAAGGAAAAGGAGTAAATAATTAGCTTCTCGAAGAAGCAATTCTCGGTCGTATCGATATCGATATCGGAAATACAACTATTCAAACCAACAACAACAACAACAACAATAAATGCTTTAAATATGTTTATTTCAATCCGAATTCCATTCCAAATTTTATTACTTTCCTGTATAACATTCATTGTGTTGGTGAACGGATTGGATGATTACAGTATTGCTGATAATGATAATGATGATAATGTTATCAATCTTCCAGTTAGTAAATTTCCAGAACCGGATTGCAAATATCATGTACGGTTTTATAATCGAAATGGTTCGGAATTGAAGAGGTAGCATAGTTACATTGTATATCTATTTCTATCATATAACTTATTAAACTATTATTTCTTAAATTTAGTCATTTATTTGAAATCACCAAAATAAGTGAAAAATAATTTAAAAATATTTCTTTTACTTTCTTCCAGGTTAATTTTCAGGTTGAAAAAACTGGACAAAGTATTTTATCTGTAAATCGTTAATATTAATTAATATACGAGGCTGCTTATGTTACATATTACATTAGAATTAATAATATTAATTTTTCAACAGTTTTAATTTAATTTCCAAAATGCAATATGAGTTTTAGCTCACTGACTTCTGATTTAATTAACAAAAATATTTTTGGAAAAAAAGTTAGATTAAAAAGAAGCACAAAATTTTAAGTTGGAACTTTGAAAAATATTACATCATTTGAAAGGTGCAATTATATATATATATATAGCCCTTTAATTACAGAGAATATTTATAGCTTATTTGACGTATATTACAGAAATTATCATGATAAATGGAAAAAAAGATGACCATAGTGATAAGAATAAAAATTTAGAGAATTAAAAAATAACCAAAGATTGCAGGCAAGTTGAAATTGGTGAACCGGTTTACCATCATTGGACATGTAGCTATAAGCAGCAACAAAATGGTCTATTTTGTATTTTAGTAAATAATTGTACGATTTCAAATCCTCGACCTGATTCTTTACCAGTACCAATTATTGATGAATATGGATGCTCCCTTTTTCCTATTATAATGCCACACGTGGAATATAATGGTGATCTTGAAGGTGGCCTTCAAACGAATGTATTCTTATTGGATATTGATCAGGTACTGACTAATAATATGAGTAAATTTACAATAATCACAAAATATTTATATGTAAATGTATGGCAATGATAATTTCATTGAAGTGGAAAAATGAAATTTGCTGAACTGCTATATGTAAGTGACCTTCTTATCGGTGCTCCTCTTCTCAATGGCTCATATTTTGAATTCGTTCCATTTCGTTTCATTATTACAGCATTGAAGTCATACAATAATGTTGCAGATGTTATAAATTTTGAATTTAGAACTTAAATTGAAGGTATCTTCCAGCTTTAGCATTTAAAAATAATGAACTTACGTGTATTTTTATTGCAGTATTAAGTTCATACGTGTTTATTCAAGTGTCAATTTCCACAACAAACAATAAAATCAAATAGATTAGATTAATATTATCGTCGTACAAATGAAAATGCCATTTTCAGTCATCTATTACGTTTCACTGCAATATCAAGTTGCTACTAAAATTACATGGCATTTGTCAACGACCTCAATGTACACCGATTCAACGGTACCTTCTCAGATCACAAAGAAGTTCACTCACTTTTGAAACAACATCAAATGTACTTTGATAATAAATGTAACTCAAATTATATTTTTAAGATGAAGAATCATTCATATCACTAAAACTAAAATTTCTCTACGTCTAATTAGCAAACGGAAATCACTTGTTAAACAATCTCTGTTTCATCAATAAATTTTCATCCAACAATTAATAAAGCACACAGTATATTCAAATTATAAATTTCTAGCTGAAAGCGCTTCTTTTTAAAAAAGAAAATTGCATGTAAAAAAAATATTCTAATGTGAAATAACAAGCTACTGAACAATTTACTTTGCTAGGAACTAATCATATTCAATATCATATTTCTGTCAGGAATTTGCTCACATGTTTTTTGGTTAAATATTATTATGTCGTTATAACTTATTATGATGATATAGTAATGAAGGAAAATGAGAAATACTTTTTCACATAGCGTGTCACCTTTAGCCAACAAATTCTTCGTAACCCAAAATAATCGTTCTTGTTTGGGAAAATGTTTTATGAAGCCAAAAAGGG